GGAGGGCTCCTCACGCTGGAGCCTTGGTGACAGAGGAAGGCACAGCACCACGCATGTGCCCAGCACACAGCAGAGGGTCGCTAAGTACCAGGCTCCCCTCCCTTGTTCAGAGCAGCCAATTCTGGAGTTAGCGGAGGAAAGGCCTTCTTAGTCAGCTTTCCTCCTGTCAAAAGGTCAAAATAACACACATGTTTTCTCCTTTATTAAAAAGGTTTTCCTTTCTCTTTAAAACCTTTGCTAAAAATCAATTCTGTTTAAATGGTAAGTGTTACTGTTTGAACACGAGGAAATGGGTAACACAGCCGAAAACTTCCAGCAGCCTTAAGGACTGAACAGCAGCATCAGGACAAGTCAAGACACCAGAGAGCAAGAGTGAAAGGAATGCAAACCCCCAGGTCTGGAATCCTCCAGGAGCTACTTACTCAAACAGTGTCTCAAACACTCAGAGCAATTCCCCAGCTCAGCGTGGAGTCCCAGCTGCCTTCCGGGCCTCCTCCCATGCTGGAAACGAAATGCCTTCTCTAATTACTCGGCTGCCATCGGACCCACCATCGCACCTGCACCCACAGTCCTGACACCTTCCTTGCCAGGGGAGGCTGGACTCCATGGGACGGGTGCCAGGTCTCTCTGCTCTGGGTCCCTGTGTCTTGTCACTCTGGTGGCCAAGTGGCAGCAGGCCATGGGGAGTGCCACGTGCAACATGGTTCCCTGATGCACTGATCTAATCGGGGAGGTTTCCACAACCACCACACACCCTGGAGACGCACTCAACCCCTCTGTCTGCCTACCTGGCACACAGCTTCCACAGGCAAGGCTGCCTTGAGCCCGCCTCTGTCACACACACACTCCTCTTTCTCCAAGAGACAGGACGTTTTTACATTTTGATACCTCAGTTCAAATGAACCAACGATTCACTTTCACAAAATTGGAGGCAACACACAGATTTAACACAGAGTTACAGGGCAGGATCTGCAGCCATGGACGCCCCCTGGTTCCCACAGGGGCCCCCAATGCCCCGCTGCTCCCCTCTTGTCACTAGCCTTCACCTCCTCACTTGGCTTAGCTCCTAGGGTCAATCATTTTCCTCCCTTGTGTACACCATCAGCCCCACGTCTGCTTATTCACTTGGCAAAACCACCATCCTGGCTTGCTCTCCACCTGCCCTACACCGGCAGCCACGCAGCTAAACGGCCGGAGAAAAATGCACACCACCCTGCTGGCTGGTCCCACTCGTTCCCCACAGCACTTATCACCTGCTCGCATGCTGGATATTTTACTTGTTTATTATTTTAACAGTTTATTGTCTGTCTGCTCCAGGAGAGGAAAGATCTTTGTCTCTCTAATTTAAACATTGGGCATAGGGCCTGGCACATGGTAGGTGCTCAATAAACACAGTGGTGAATGGCGTGCTCTCCAACATGCGGTACAGGGCACAATGGGTGTGTTTAAGATGTGGGGAGGAGGCAAAGCTAACAGTAAGGACTCCGGAGGACTATGTCTGCAGTCCACAACTAACCTGTTCCAATGCCCTGTGGCCACCTGGGTCCAAAAGACAGTTACGATACAGCCTCAAATCTATGAAACCTACGTTTCCACTCTCTACTCCACCGCCTCCTGCCATGGCCATGATTTCACCCTGCCCATCCTCGTCTCTCCCTGGATCTCCTCGCTGGTCTCCTGGCTTCCAGGCTCGTCTGCTGGAATCCAGTCCCCCCACAACACACACTCACAGCCCCAGGGGTCTCCCTCCAAGCTGAGCCGTGGGCTCCCCTGCTTGCGGTGCATCAACAGCTTCTTATCGCCCGAGAAGCAGTTAGGAGGGAGGTAGACAGGCTTCAGGACACAGATTTGTACACCGGGAAAGGTTTTCACTTATTTTTCAATCCTTTTGACAAAAGAGGGAGAAAGTCTCCGTTTTCTGCTATTATATCCCTAACACCTCAAGCATGGGCTCATCTCCAGCTTTGGCAGAAAGAACGAGCCTCAGGGTCTAACACACAACACTTACAGAGTCTGTGCTGTCCAACTCAGTAGCCACGTGTGGCTATTTCACTGGAAATTGGCACTAAACAAAGAATTCCATTCCTCAGTCACCCTGGCCACGTTTTAGGTCTCCACAGGCACACGTGGCTGGTGGCTACCTCGCTGCACAGTGCACACAGAGGACATGTCCATTATCCAGAGAGTTCCACTGGACAGGGCCGAGGATGGGTTTTATTCCTTTTGTTTTGTTTCCATAGCATTCATCTTTATGGCTACCTCGTATTTACGGTATGTGATACGTCTCATTTTCATTTATGGCAGCGAAATTAAAGTCTCTCTCAAAACGCATTTATACAGGCAAAAATAAAGCAACTTGATTTAAATAAAATTAATAAAAATTGGGAAAGTAAATGAAAGCAGGCATGGATGCAGATGGAGTCAGTTGTGAAGGGGTTTGCGAATGACCGATGTTTCGAGACCCTGGCCCCAGGAGAAAGACCCCACTTACACCATCGGCCAGCCCACCGCCACTGCCCCCATCCTAGCTCATCACACTCTCCCGCGCACCCTGGGCTCTTCGGCAGCCTCCTCAAGGCTCTGGGAGCTTCCTCCCCATGCCTCCTCCCCGGTCCTCCTTGGTGGCCCACGGCAGCCTGTGCAGACCTGGGTTACAGCCAGGCGACGTCCCTGACACGGCCCATGAGACCCTCGAGGGAAGGGCTGAGTGTCTTCCATTTGTCCCCGTGTCCCAGGGGCTCCTGGGGCCTGGGACAGAAGAGGCACCAGGGAATTGACGGCTTAATGACCAAAATGAAATACTATCCCTTACCCAGCTGCGTGGCTCTACCGTTTACAAGGGGCTTCGGCACCCATAGTGTCACTGGATCCTTACAACAGCCAGGGACATAAATCGGGCCGGGGTCACGTCCCCACCCTAATCCTACAATCAGGAAACCGGGCTCCAGGAGGGGGGCTGCCACTGTCCCAGTGCCGCAGTGGACAGCCCGAGCGCAGGGCAAACAGCACTGGGCCAGACCACGGGAGCCTGAGCCCCAGTCCCAGCTCTGCCCCTGCAGCTGGGGACTCTGGGTCGGCCCCCGTCTCCCCAGACCTCCATCTCCTCCTCTGTGAAATGGGATGGTGACGACACGGCCACCGCTTCAAAGCTTTCACGCCAATGTGAGCGCCAAGTGCGGTCGTGAATGGCAAGCTGCCCTGAAAACTGCAGAGCACCGTGCAGGGAGCTCTGAACACGGCCGGGGCGGTCACGCGAGTCCCACACCCCCCAGTTCACAGACCTGGAGCGCCTGCTTGACTCCTCGTCTTATTCCGCTGGGAAGCCGGTCCACACCTCAGACTTGGCAGCGGACATCCATCTGTGCTGCCCGCCACGCAGGCGCCCAACTCCTGGGGCAGTGCCTGCTTCTCCCGAGGGGACCGCCCCTTCCCACACAGACACCATGCTGGAGGCGCACCTAACACCAGGGAGGGGCCCGTGACTCGGGTCTGGCCAATCAGAGCATTGCATCCAGCCCTACAGGGATGGGTTCAAGGGTGCCCCTCAGGCCCAATCAGAGCCCACGGGGTGCCATCTGGGGACTTGATGGGACAGTTTAGAGAGAACTAGTCTCTAGTCTCCTGGACTTTGTTCTGGGAGGGCAGGGCCTGAGCTGCTGCCACCATGCAGAGCCTGAGACTGAAGCCAGAGCAGAGGGCAGAGGCAACAGCAGAGAGACCCATCTGACGACGGTATCTGAGCCCCTATCCACCTGTGCCTGAAGCTCTCTTACGGTTCCATAAAGTCAGTAAATGCCTGTGCTTTGCTTAAGACAGATGGAGTGGGGTGTTCTGACCCTTGCAACAGAAAGGGTCCTGACCAACTGATGCTCTGAGGGCGGGGGAGAGGGGTGGGGCCCGGATGGAGGGTCAGGCAGATGCCCAGCCTGGCCGTCTCCATCCAGCTAAATCTGAGCTTCCATCGCTCAAAGCAGCTCCAGCCCCAGCTCCTCCTGGAACCTTCCTGACCACCCCGATCCACTTCGACCCTCCCGGCTCTGAGCACGCCACTCCTTCGGGGCAGGAGGAAGGAGACAGATGCTAATGTTTCCACTAGCTTAGTGTTGGCGCATCTCAGAGGGGCTGACTGAACGTGCCCTCGGGGGCTGCAGGGCCTGGGTGTGAGCCCAGCTTTGACAATCGCTAGTGTGAGTTTTGCAAGTTGACCTGGGCTCTCTGTGAGTCTGATTCCTCATCTGTAAAGGAGAATCATGAGAGCACCTGCCTCACAGGGTTGTGAGGATGAAATGGGTTAATAGTAACACATGTCAATATTAGACACAGAGCCTCACAGTGTATTATTACTATTATTAGTCTGCAGAATAGTGACACCTTAGCAACCTGCCTGCTCTGTCCACTGCAGCCCCCACTGGCCTGAGCCTCAGTCCCTCCCCAGCCAATATTCACGTACCAGTAGTTCTTTCCTCGCCAGTCGGTGGGGGCTGGGGTCAATCCTATTGCCCAGTCACAGGCGACCACCAAGCAGGGCCCCCCTTGGCCCCATCCAGCTAGGCTTCAGATACCCCAGTTGTCCCTCTAAGCCCTGGGCGGGACCCCAAGCCTGTTCATCAAACACAGATGCACCTGCCTCTGGCCCCATGGAGGAGGGTCCAGAGGGGCCTTCAGTCAACTTTCGGGTGAGTCAGCTGTCCATCCTCCAGGAGGGCTGACCTGAGGACTCTTTATCTCCTCCGAGGTCCCTGGTGAGGTCCTAGGATGACGGGGATCAGGGCCACTCTGGAAGCCATTCAGCAGCCACGGTTTTAAAGTTTTCATAAATAAACTCAACTTGATTCCGCATCTGGTCCTCACTCACACACTGTGAACCAGAAGGTAACTCACTGAAGACGCTGAACAAGGCAGAAGCCCCTAGGTCAGCTTGCTTACAACCAAGCCACCAACCCCCCATCCAAAACCCGTCCCTGGGAGATGACGGGGGGGCCTGCAGCTGGAAAGGATACTGAAGCTCCTGTCGGTGATGGCCAGGTGCCAGAGGTTAATGCGCAGGTCGTCCGCCGACATGTACGTCTCGCAGTCACTATTGACGGAGATGGAGTTGATGTGGTAGGTGTGGCCGTTGGCAAAGACCCTCCTTGGGCTCACCTCCACCATCAGGTCCATGGGCTTCAGCACAGGCACCTGCAGAGGAGGAGGGGCGGTCAGAGCAGGACGACGCGGGGGGTGGTGTCAGGGGCAGGCCATGTGGGCCAGGCAGCGCCAGGGCCGTGTGATCAAAACTAGAGGCCAGGAGCGTGCCAGTGGGCGTCCATCCTGCATGTGTCGGAAATAAGCAGTGCCACGTGGCCAAAATCCGTCACCCGCCAGCTCTGCAGGAAAGCCTGCCGCCTGGTTCTGAGCCCGCCGTGTGACTTTGAATAAATGACTGAACCCCTCTGCACCCCAATTTCCTCATCTCTAAAATGGAATGAGAAGATTCCGTGGCAGAGACAGCTGACTGTCCACCAAACATTTGTGTCCCTTCCACAGGGAAGTGGCTGCCCATATGGGAACTACATTTCCCAGCTGCCCTTGTACCTGGGTGTGGCCATGTGACTGGTTCTGACCAATGGGATATGAACACAGTGATGCCTGGCACTTGTGGACCAAGGGGTTAAGAGGCAGGGGTGCCTCCTCCACCCTCTTTCCCCTTCCACTGCCAGAAAGGGAGGACCCAAGCTTTAGGGATGGAGGCACATGGGATGGAAGGAGCCTGCGGGCCTGTAGGAGAGCCGTGTGCCAACCAGGAATGCCCCACTGGACCTATCTGTGAGTGAGAAATACATTTCCGTGTGTTCTGCCCTGCAATGCCAAGGTTATTTGTTACAGGCTGGTGTTGGCCTAACTCGTACAACAGGCTGGGTGAGTCGGACTCGGGTGGATGTGGGCACTTCTCCTGACTCCACCCCACTCTTAGGCTGGGCCAGGGGCTCCCTGAGGCTCCCGCAGCTTGTAAGTCCCTCTTCACAGCCCTGACCACATCGTGAGGGTGTCACCTGCTTCCGTTCATTTCCCCAGTGGCCTGGGGACCCAGTGGGTAGGAATCATGCCTGGGAGACAGGCATGTCTTCTCTTGTTCATCTCTGTGTCTCTGGTACTCAGCCCAGGGCCCAGCTCAGAGATCCTCAGGTGAATGAGTGAGTGGCCAAGTGAAGGAATGAATGGGCTGTGTCCCTCGAGCTCCCCAGGGACAACTGAGATGGGAGGTGACAGCCTTGGTGCTGCAGCGGGGGTGGGTGAGCACTAGGCGTTCCTTCTGCTGCAAATGCAGCTCTGCAGCTAACGTCAGAGTTTCTCATGCACCAGGGCACCCAGTGGGAGCATGTGTGAGTGTGTGCCTGTGTGTGCATGCATGAGTGTGGATGTGTGTGAGTGTGCATATGAGTGTGGGTGTGTGTGCATGAGTGGGGGTGTGAGTGCACGAGTATGTGCACGCAGTGTCGTTGTGCATGCCTTCCTGGCTCTGGGTGGTTCTTGTGTCGCCGGCTCTGAGTCTGTGTGCTTCTAGGCTGTATGCCTGGAGTAGATGCTGGGGTGTCTGAGCCCCTCTGTGGGGCCCTCTGCCCTGCGCATGTCCCTGTGTGTCAGATATTCCAGGTCAGCTCCCAACCTTCCCTCAAGGCACAGCCACTGCCCGCCCTGGGGGCCCTTGGACCCTCTCAGGTCACACCTGCTCCTGGAGGTCAGAGTATCACTGGCCTCACAAAGTCTGGGCATCTCAGTCTGCCTCCCCCGCCTTCCAGCAACACTGTTTCCTCCTGGCAGCCTCGGAACAGTTCACCCAGTGCATCAGCCATTCACTGCCCCCCCAAACCATATTTCAAAGCCATTAAACAAAAAAAGGAGCAGGAAAGTGAAAAGAAACTTCTCCTGAAGGTTTGGGGGTTTCATGAATAAAACATTCCCCACACACACACTTCCAGAAGCCAGAATCTAGTCAAGGTGAGGGGCAGGAGGACAGACACATGAACACTAAGGACAGAGCAGTGTGGGATACAAAAGACTAGAGTGGACAGAGGAAGGATAAGGATTCTCATCTGGCTTGTGTAGAAAAGGCTTTACAGAGGTGAAGGCTAATAGGGTTTTAAAGGATGAATAAGAATTCGCCAAATAGATAAGGTAGAGAAAGGCTTCCCTGTGTGTCCATCTGCTACAGCACCGACCTCCAGTGAGGGGGTGACTCCATGTCTGTTTCCTTGAGGGGCTGGGTACACTTCGGGAGTGGGTACTCAGTCTTACCTTACTCACCTCTGGGACCCCAGAGACCTAGCACAGGGCCCAGCATAGAGCAGGTTCTCAGAAGGGACAGCTGCCTCCAGCATGAGCAGCATGGCTCAGGGAGAAAGCTGTGCAGGGTTGGGGTGGTGTGGGAGTGGGGAGGAGGCAAGGTGAGAGGCGGGATGAGGAAAGACCAGACACCCACGTTCTTCCCCCCTTTCTTCTCCTCCAGCCTCAGTAAAGTGCCATCTTGGGATGTATGTGACAGAGGAGAACCTCAGACTCCAGGAGGGAAAGAAACACGATTCCCATGGGCCACTGGCTCTGCCACAAACACCAGGCCAATCAAGAGGCGATAATTGCATCCTTACCGCCAGATGAAACCCTCATAAACTTTCTTGGGGCTGGGGGGGTGGGCACCATCACTCTCACTGCTCAACGTCAAAGCTAATTGGTTTCTCCGCTTTCTCAGAATTTATTTGTGCAATTTGCCAGTCATTTAGAGGTGAATGTGTTTAAACATATACTTCTCCTTCTCGGGAACAATGATTACCGCTTCACATTTATGACAATTCACCGGATGCGTAGCTCGTGAGCCTGCTAAGTCGCTTCAGAAAAAACGAGTCATCATCTCCATTTTGCTGGTGAGGAAACTGAGGCACGGAGCAGGGAAATGCCCACCCACCCCCCAGGCAGTGAGTGGGTCTGTGAGCAGTTGGGAGCCTGGAGAAGCGCTGACACCACCCCACACCAGCAACACTGCTCCCTGCCTGGAGCAGCACATACTCAGAGTGGAGGCAGGAACCGAGGGAGACGGCAGTTCACGTGATGTGAGCCCGGCCATTTCAAATCGGCTAGAACGTGGAAACTGGAGTTGAGTGAGTGGTCACCTCCTGATGCGCATCCCTGTTCATTCATGGCACTCAGGCCGCCTCCCCGGAGCCAGGCCGGTCCTAGGCACTGGGGACACCACAAGACTTAGAACAGATCCTGCCCTCAGGCTCTTTGTTTACTGCGGCCCCCAGTACCTAAAGCAGGGCCAGGCACACAGTAGGTGCTCAATAAGTGTGTGCTGAATGAATAAATCTGAATGAGCTGTGCACCAGCATCACCTTCAACAGACATGTGCAAAGCACCCAGGCATGGTTCCAGAAGCCAGGGACAGACAAGGGGGCCATGGTGTACTTCCCGCCCTGCTGGAGAAGGAAAGGGACAAACTTTTACAGACTCCTTCCAGCATGATGCACTAACCAACCCCACAGCTCTCCCGTGAGGCGGGGACCTCATTTCCAATTTACAGAGGAGACTGGGATGCTGACTCTGGAGCCAGACTTCCCTGGGTTTGGATCTGAGGTCTCAGTTTCCTCATCTGTAAAATGGGGATTAATCATGTGGCCACTTTATAGGATTTTGGTGAGGATTAAATGAGTTATTACAGCCCAAGTGCTTGGGAGACACATGCTCACTACAGAAGTGTTTATTCTTGCTCCAGATGAGGAACTGGAGGCTCGTGAAGGCTGAGAGCCTTGCCCAGGGTCACACCACCAGGAAGTGGCAAAGGCAGGACTTGAACCCAGGTCCTGTGACCCCAGAACTCTTTCTTCCATGTCTCACAGCCCCTCTGCTGGAAGAACGATGAGTCCTTCTGCCTGTTAGCTGCACTGGGGACAAGAGTTTCCTTTAGCCCGGCTCTGCCACTGAACCTTCCCGGCCTCTTTTACAGCGACGGCAACCTTTCAAGCTGAGCCTTCAAACAGGCTGCGAGAATCCCAAGTTCCAGACCCCCCTGCCCCTCGGCACAGGGCTTGGATCCACAAAGCTCAGCTCACAGGTTCCCCTTCTGGCTCTGCCACTTACTTCGCTGAGCAGCTGTGGGTGAGTTGCTGCCTCTCTCTGGGCTCAGTTTCCCTCTTTGTAAAACAAGGGATCACAGGACCTGCTCTCCACCCTCAGCTGCAGCTGAAAAGCACTTTAGGGCAAGCATCACCTCGCCTCACCCTCAAGACTTCCAGGAGAAAGATGATGGTCTCTGCTTTGCTGGGGAGGAAGCTGAGGTTCAGAGCACAGAAATGACCGCCCAACAAGTAAGCAGCCCGGCCAGCATGTGAACCTGACTGTGGCTCAAACAGCTCAAAGGCCCTTCAAGTCCTAAAATCCTCACTGTTTCATAAAAGAAGCAAAAACGTGCTCCTGCTTGCCGGAATCTCTCGTGTTCAACGTCTCACCTGCAGTGACGTCACCGTGGACAGGTCCTTAAGCTTCCCTTCTTCATCTTTCAGGTTATATCCCTCGGGCCTTTTATCTCGTTCAGTAATCTTCCATAATTTGATAGTTTTATCTTTAAAAGCAGAACAAGTGAAACAAGACACGTGATTAACAGCAGCACAGAGACTGGAATACCCACTTCAGTCCACCAGATCAGGAGGCATCCACCCAGAAATTACTTAACCGCTACCCTGCTCTTGGACACGGAGGTTCTGTCTAATTTTACTCACTGCATATAAAGACGCAACGAGCGTCTTTGCTGAGGAACACTTGTCTTCATTCTCCAGCTCCTCACAACTGATCCCAAAGGTGAAAGTGCTGGGTCAAAGGGTGTGACACTTTTAGGGCAGTTATCAATCTCTCAAATGATTTCCAGAAAGACTGTACTAATGTAACTTCTTGCTTTTTTAAGCCCTTCATTGGCAAACAAAAGAGGGAACCTATTTGCTATTTCTGAGCAGCACCCTGCCCATGCAGAACTCAGCACTCCAACAGCCTCACTTCTCTGGAATCCTGCCAAGAACATCAAAAGAGTAAGCTTCAGTAGCTGTGATGGTTAATTTTATGCGTCAACCATGGCTAAGCCACAGTACCCAGATATTTGCTCAAATGTGTGGATGTTGCTGTGTAGTTTTTAGATGAGATTAACATTTAAATCCTTAGAGTAAAGCAGATTATCCTCCATAATGTGGGTGGGCCTCATTCAATCAGTTGAAGGCCTTAAGAGAAAGAAGACTGAGGTCCCCCGAGGAAGAGGGAATGCTGTCAGCAGACGGCCTTCAGATTGGACTGGAACGTCGGCTATTCCTGGGACTCCAGCCTGCTGGCCAGCCCTGCAGATTTGGCACTTGCCAATCTCCACAGTCACGTGACAATTCCTTAAAATAAACCTCTTTATTTCTATCTCTATCTCTACATCTCTATCTATACGTGCACGCACGCGCGCGCGCGCGCGCGCACACACACATGCTCAGCCTAGTGGCTCTGTTTCTCTGGAGAACCTGACTGCTACAGCCCCAAAACAAACACTGCCAAGTTCACGAGAAGGAAGGAGAGAAAAATGATATCAATTCAACACCTGACAGGTGCCCAAGGACATGCCATTAGGAAGGGGGGGAGCCGGGATTTGAACCCGGGGACGGAAAGCTCTGAGGCTGGGGACGTTAGGGAGCTCCTGAAGCTGAACTTGCCTCCAGAGAGGCGGGAGAAGAATGACACGTTCCTCTTAGATGATTCAATATAAAAAGCCCAGGGGCTGGCCTGTTCTAAGCCCATTATGATGTTATTCCGTTTCATCCTCCCAGTCGCCCCAGGAGCCGGCACAGCCCTCACAGTTCAGAAGAGGGCAGGCTGGGAACTGCATGAGGCCCTCCTGCCCCTGGCGGCCCGCCCTTGGGGAGGGCCTCTCGCTGCCTCTGCTCCAGTGCCCAGGAGGCCCCACTGGCTCCGAGACAAGGGTTTGCCGAGCACTGAGACTGTGCCGGACACCCCTTAAGGGACACAGATTTTACACTTGGCGCAGTGGCACACAACCAGAATGGCAGGAGACGGGGGTGGGGGGGGGCAGGCCTGGGCTCGAACCTCCATGGGAGGGACACCTGGCTCAGCTGTAAGGCTGAGGCAACACCCAGCAGAAGCCTAAGGGCTGAGGAGGGGGTTGGCCAGGTGAGGGGCAGAGGGCCAGCCTTCAGGCACATGGGTGCGTTAGCAGGATTGAGTCTGACCCGTTTCAGTGATGCCTTAAAGGATGCACTGCGAGTCTGGACTCTGTCGGGGAAGGCAGGGGGCATCATCTCCTAGGTTCTCTCACGCTGCAGCAGGGCGGCTGGGCTCAGGGGCTGGTCTGGGGGGACTGGGTGGGCGTTATCTCCCTCCACCCTCAGCGAAACCCAGAGGGAGCTGCATCCACACGACTGCACAGGTGAGGAAACTGAGGCTCAGGGAAGCAAGGCCACCTCCCCAAGATCCCGGGGCTGGGAGAGAATCCAGGTCTGTCCGGCTCCCACCCGCGGCACCTCGGATGATGGGGTGAGAGGTGAAGGAGGACGAGCAGCGAACCGCGGATGCGGGCAGCTGAGCCTCTGGCCCCAGGAGCCGCGCCCTCCGAGTGGACCACGGGAAGCACGAGTCCGGCCGGGGGCCTCCTGGGGGGCCGGGAGCGGGTGCACGCCCTCTCCCCGAGGCAGAACGGCAAAGCTCCTAAGCCAGAGCTGCTCTCACACCGCGGGGGGACAACCTCCACTTGGGTGGTCTGGGGTTCCGGGGGCGCGACGAAGAGTTACGTTTGTCAAGCGTTCACTGTATTTCCTGACCTGGCCTCCTTCGTCAGGAATATCGAGCTCCCTCCACCCCAAAGAAAAGTACCGGCAAAGATGTTCAGACGCTGCTATGTAGTGGGAGTCAGCCCGTGTCCACCCCAGGGAAGAGGCGGAGGAAGCTCCGGCACTTTCACTGGATGGAATGTACATGCTGCTCAAAAATGCTTTAGTTCTGGAGACGTAGAAAAATGCTCACAATGTAAATGAGGTGAAACCCAGCATTTGATGATACATTGCTACAACACAGGCCCACGCACGCGCGCACACAAAGTCAGGCGCGCCCCCCCCGCCGCGCGCGCGCGCGCACGCGCACACACAGGCGCTGGCGCCCCCACGCATGCGCACTCAGGCGCGGCCCTCACCGTTGGTGGACAGCAGGGAGTGGGCGGCATTCTGCTGCGGGAGCCACTTGATCTTGTTGATTTTCTCCTCTATCTCCAGGCTCTTGAGATAGTCGAACTCCGGCTCGTGGCTCTGGAAGGTGCTGTAGACGTCGTACTCGCCCTGGCTGTGAGGCGCATTTTTACTCTGCAAGGAACCCGGACAAGGCGCCTGAGCTCCAGGGGGCGGGGCTGGGGCGGCGCTGCACGGACCGGGACGGGAAGGGTTAAACCCGCGAGGGCCCGGCACGGCCACGGCCACCGGGCGTCCGGCAGTGCCAGTGGGCCCATCGAGGGTCAAAGGAAGCTCTGCTTTTCAAATGGCCAGTAACTTGCTGTGCGGCCGCGGCCAAGCCCCGTCTCCTCCTCGGTCCAGTCAGTGAGAACAGCAGCAACCAGGCTCCTGTTCACCGAGCACCCACCACGTGCCGGACACTCAGCTAAGCACTTCTGACGCCTCCTCTCGTTCTATCCTTGCAGCCCCTGGGTGGGTACCGTGACTCTCCCCATTTCACAGACGAGCAAGTGGAGGCTCAGAGGTGAATCGACCCCCCAAGGCCACATGTCCCCTACATGCAGTCCCTCACTCCACTGAGGCCTGTCTGATATAAGGGCGGAGGCTCCGACCTGTTCCTCACGTCCATCTGTCCAACTTGGGCCTGACTGGAGGAATGGTCGCATTTTGGAGCAGATTTTACACTGGGGCAGAATACCCCTGCAGCGTCAGACCTGGGATGGAATATGGCCCCCCTGGCTTTTCTCAGCAGGACCCATCCTGGTTTAGGCAGCAGAGCTCTTTATAATGAGGTCCTCCTGGCGGAGCCCCCAGAATAGTGAGGTGGTGAGTCCACTGCGAGCACCAGGGACCACTTTCCCAGGAGACAATTCAAGTTCATGGGACCATTGGAAGCCACAACCAGAAGCATAACTGCCTGGGGGCAAAACGAAGACATTCAACCACGCTCAATTTCAGGCTTTCTCTTAATTTTTAAAAAGTTTCTATTTTTATATTTCTATACTTGTTCTGCTTCTGGAAAGCTTTAAAGTTCTTCAATATTTTTGTCCCTAATTCACTTTATCTGCCATGAGCACTGCCTGTGACAAAGTTCAGCAGGACCAGAATAAAGGAAAAAATTAAAGGAGAAAAATTCAAAATTGAGAAACTTGCATCGACCAATTTAATTTCTTTCTGCAATTTGGCGAAAAGAAAGCTTGGCTTTGCAATCCCCGGTGGGACACTGGTCCTTCTCATGAAATCAGCACGCTCCGGCCACAGTACCGTGTTGGATACCCAATTTTCAGCTGTCCACTTTCTCACACCCTCTGAGCTCGGACTCCCCACCTGTAACTGATGGTGATAGCAGCACCTAACTGCACCACTAGGGGTGTCATGAGGGAGGGTTATGGGAGCAAACCCAGTGAAGTCAGGCCTCAGGAACATCAGCTGTGGGGACGATGCTTAGGAATTGAATGACGGAGAGGATGGTTCAGTAGCATCTCTTTTCTCCCCCTCTCTTTCACCCTCTCCTCCTCTGCTCTCTTCTCCTTCTCTGCCCCTTCCTCCTCTTCCCTCCCTCTCCTCCCCCCACCTCCTTGGTGTCGCACCATCCTGTCCTCAGCATCTGATCCCACCCGTGTCTTACACGCGAGATGCCCCCTCTCCGAGCAGGGTGGTGTGTAAGGGACAGGCCACACGCAGTCTTGGTTTCAGTCCTGGTCTTTGCTCCCTAGCTGGGTGACTTCTCCCGGCGTCCTCATCTGTAAAATGGGGTGTCACTCCCCACCCTCTGAGGTGGGCAATGAAGAGCAAATGAGAAAAGAACGTACAGGATGTAGCAAGGGGTCTGCACGAGTCGGTGCTGCACAAGCAGGGACTTTTCATCATGAGGTTCTTCGGGTGGTTCAGAAACGGCACCCCTGGGCAGGTTGCTCCAGGCCACTCTGTCTGACCCAGGATTCTGCTGGACAGTGACCCTCACTGGGGCAAAGGTGTGAGGCCGAGCAAGCTCGCCAGCCCCAGCCTGTGGGCAGGCCTGACAGCTGCAGAAGAGTCGATCCTCCTGTCCTCCCAGCTCTGGCCGGGACAGCGCCAGCTCACCCAGGCAGAGGGCAGTTTAACTGGAGGTTTAACCCAAGGCAGCAGCTGGCTCTGCCTGAACTATTTCTCTGGGATCAAGGAGCAACCAACAAAAATCTGCTGAGCAGAGAGGGCTCTGAACGTGGTGGTGTGAGCTGACCCCCTGGCCTGCCCCTCCGGAACTGGCGGGTCCCATCCCTGCATGCCAGAGCACTCTCTCCGTCTAGCTTGGGGATCCTGTGGGGAAGGTGGCAGTCTCCCCTAAGAGATGCAATCCTGGTGGGCTGCTGAGAGGCACCCTGCCAGTTACAGGCCCCAGTTGAGTGTAGCCCTCCACATCCCCCAGGCCCTGCCGCACCTCTGGTTCCCGCTGGAAGATGACGACCCGGCCACCCTTGTCGCCTGTGGCCAGCAGCTCTCCGGTGTGGTTGAACTCGACGGTAGAGATGATATCGGCTGCGGGGAGAGAGACAGGAAGGCGTGGCTCATTAGGACCCCAGTACTGTGCCGTTCCACAGAACAGCACCCGTCCCGCCCCCCACAGGCCCCCATCATTGACAGCAGGAGTCCGAGGGGCCGGGAGCACTGACGAGGGGCTAACTGGTGCCCCCTCCTCGCTGGCTGTGGGACAGAGACTGCTCCATGGACTTGCTTCACTGACTCTTTCCTGCTTCCTTCCTTCCTCCCTCCCTTCCTTCCAGAAGCAGTTTGGGGGTTTCCTCATATGCTGACCAGGTGACTGGGATAAAAACCTGATTCTCACTAGCCCAACTCTGGGGGCCACCAAGACCAACCATACTGAGCCCTGCTCCCACTGAGCTGCCCCTGGGTGGGACCCCCGTAAATCTTCATATTCCCAGCCTGGACTCTGAAGGCACCAAAATCTCTGATCCAGCTTTAGCACAGTGGACCTCCTTTCAAACAGACCGCAGATCTGACCACTCGTCCCGGCGGCCCCAGGCTGGGCACTTAGCTGACCCCTGCCCTGCACTCTATGCTCCTTACAGCCGCCTCCCGAGTCATGGGGTGCCTCTGCTCAAAACCCTCCATTGGTCCCCCAGCCCCCTCCTTTGCATCCTTCTCCATCTCTGGTGATGGCAGTGCCCATCTTCCCTGGCTCGGGCCCAAGCTTTGGAGTCACCGTCACATTCTCTCATGCTCCACATTCAATCCTGCTGGCTTGGACTTCGAAATACATCCAGATTCCAACCACTTCTCCCCATCTCCTGCCTGAATGACTGCCACAGCCTCCTCACCGACCTCCTCGATTTCTCCCTGGCCCGGCGACAAGCGAGCCTCACCAGAGCAGCGAGAGGAGCCACTCGAAACCCTCTAGTGGCTCCCATTTTATACCCAGAACAGAAGCAAAGGTCTCAGAGCGGTCTAAAGCTTTGGGTAACCTGCAGCCCTGGAGGCAGACCACGTCAGGAGCCCAGTCTTCACCACTCTCCTCACCTGCACAAGGTACTTGGCATTGCCCCCCACCCTGGGCCGGGTAAGCTGCCCCGTGATTTGCCTTGGTCTGGGACGCCAGCAGACAAGGCGCTGTGCTGTGCCTCTGCCACTGCCAGGAGAGGACCTGCCCGGGCTAGCCCACTGGGCCTGGGAGGAGAAGGAGGGAGGACGTGTGCAGCAGAGGTGCCCCAGTGAGCCAGCCCCGACCAGGGGCCCCCAACTACCAAGCCTAGATCAGCGGGATCGGCAGATGCGTGATGAAAAATGTGTATTGTTGAATGCCAAGGAGTTTCATGTTTTCGACTCAATAAAAGATCACTGACACCCTCTCTCCCCAGCCTCCTCCCCCACTGCTCCCCGCCTTGCTCTCCCACTCCAGACTCTAGGCTCCTTGCTGTTTCTCAAAAGCACTGCTACCTTTTGTCTCAAGACCTGTTCTCTCGGCCTCGAGTGCTTTTCGCACTCCTATTCCCTCAATGCCTTCTCCTCTTCCAATCAGTGCCTTTAGAGGCAGCTCCTGACCGCTGCGGGCCTTCAGAGCCACAAGGAAGTGCGGGCTTTGACGGCCAAAGACGAGGGGAGAAAGAAGGTGGTTTAGAAGCAGGATGAGGGGCTGGGCATATTCACTGATCAAGATAAAAAGCACATTTCATTAAACTTACAAAGACAAGACACGACAAGCAGCTCTGTGGGGACATGTAAATACTCGCTGAGTGTGGAACTGGGAGTGGGGGCAGGCCCTGACTGCCCCAACGCTGTCCCTCCACGGGCAGCCTGCCCTGGCCCAGGGGCATGGGAGAGGCACAAGCCACGTCCCAGCAGTGCTGGGGTTCCTGGACGGGGCACTGCTCTCGCCATTTCAGATCAGCGCCCCCTAAGGGGGAAAGAGCAGGACATAAAATTGTATATAAAATGTTTTAATTATATAGACCAGTGATCACAGCCATGTTAAATAGCGAGCAAACTGGGCAGAGGGAAAAAAACCTGGAAGAGAATTTTCTACCATGTTAAACAGAGGTGGCTTTAGGGTGGTTGAAAATATTTTTTTCCTCCTCTTTCTACTTTTCTATGTTTATTAAATTTTCTGTAATGAATGTATATTTTTTCATAGCTTTATTGAAGGATAATCGATATACGCAAAAAACACATATTTGATGTATGCAATTTAGTGAGTTTGGATATATGCATAAGGTATATTATTTTTACGATGGAAAAATAACAATGCTATTATAAATTAAAATGCCAATATAACCATTGGTACCCAGAGCGAATGTGGTCCATAAATGCTGGGCGGTTACCACAGTAACAGACACTCAAGTCTGCAGGCAGTTTACAATTTACATGTCGGTTTTATATCCACTGCCTCCTTTGAACCTTATGCCGGCCCCTGAGGGAGATATGACTATTATTTCTATTGGCAGCTGAGGTGATGGAGGCCCATCCCCAGCGACAACCTCCTGAGCTGTTCATGGGCCAGTCAGAGGTCCTGCGTTGGAGGTTTGACTCCAGCTCCTCGGCTGTGTGGCCTCAGGTTGGTCACACCACTTCTCTGAGACTCACTTTTGTCATCTGGAGCGTGGCTATAGTAGAGTCCGCCCAGGATTAGAAGCTCAAGTGAGAGGATGGGGTGAGAGGGTTTGGGAGGGAGGAAGGACCACGGCTCTGAGGAATGATGAATTACCAAAAGTTACCGGACAGAAAGTTAAAGCTCTTTCTCATCTTTTCTTCTGGCTGCACAGAATTCACAGCAGCCAGCTCAGAGATGTGCTAGAGAAATGCGTGGTTCAACCTCACTGTGCAGATTTGGGGTCCTGACCACCAGCTCCTCCAGTCCCGTTCTGCAAACATGTACGGAGCAAGGACCAGACCTCAGTCCAGGGCATTGCTTCCTTGGCACAGGAAGGGGCTGGTGGGTGTTTACTATCTACTCAATGTTACAGGGAATGTCTCCTAGGGTTTGCCTTAGGAAGTTACCTCCCTTGAGAGCGGGAAGTTCTCATCAGTAAAATCATGAAGTTGGAAAGTCCATCCTCTCATCTTGGAATGTTTGACACATCTCCAGGCCCAATACCACTCCTCCAGGAAGGCTTCCCAGAGAATCCCCCTGCCCCCCGCTTCAGTGGTCACTCCTACAACTACAGTCCTATGCCCCTCATCAGAGGGCAGACGCTGCAGGGGAGTCAGTGATTGGAAGAAGAGGCAGCACTGTAAACACGTTTCCTGTTTTCATGGATTTTAGCCTGAGGACAGGTCCCAGTCTGTGCCATGTGGCTGCTGAAACTCAGAGAGAAAGTCATACTCAGGCTTGATCAACGAGAAGACAGAGTCTGGGGAAATCCCAGTAGCGGGAAAGTGAGGTAGTAAATCCTGGAAAAGAGGTCCACAGAGAGGTCCCCAAAGGCAGCATATAAACTCTGCCCAAATCATCAGCTGGCCGCAAACCACACACGCACACGGCAGACTCCAAGTGCAGGTAAGGCTAAAAGAAGTGAACTGGGACTTGTGCTGCCACCCTTCACCCTGGAGACAGTCTGCAGCTGCGTTCAACCACACTAACCGCTTATGAATGCAAAAGGAAACAAAAACACTCTTTGCAAGGACATCATAAACATCTAGAGTCTCTACGGTGTTATCATTCACCACACCCAGGACATAAGCCAAAAGTATATGAAAATGTACAAAGAAATAGAGAAACATACTTAACATAAAGATAATCCAGGGAAATGGATCCTGAAATGCCCTGGATATGGAATTCGCAAACTAAGATTTTTAAAGTAGCTATTACAACTATGTTCAAAGTTGTGAAGGAAAATTTGCTCTTACTGAATGAAAAGAATGGAAATTTCAACAGAGAAATAGAAACTATTAAAAAATAACTAAATGGACATTCTATGACTGAAAAATACAATATCTGAAACAGAAAAGTCACTAAATTGCTTAACACAAACTTTGAGAAGACAGAGTTAGTGAACTTGAAGATATACCAATAGAAATTACCCTATCTGAAGAACAGCGAGAAAATAAATTTAAAAAGAAAAAGAACAGAATCCTCAGGGGTCGTGGACCAATATCAAAAGGTCTAACATAATGTAAGGGGAGGTCTAGAAGAAGAGGAGAGAGAAGAGAGTAAAAGAAAAACTTGAAGAAATAATGACTGAAAAATTCCTCAATGTGGTAAAGGGCATCAATTTACAAATTTAGGAAGCTCAGCTAACTCCAAGCAAGATAAACACCAAGAAAATCAGATGTAACTGTCAAACTGCTGAAAACCAAAATAATGATAACATTTTGTAAGCAGCTAGAATAAAAGCAACATACCACCTTCAGATGCACCATTACTCAAATGACTGCTGACTTCTCATCAGAAATAACAGAATCCAGAAGCCTCTTTTAAAGTGCCAAAAGAAAATTTTAAAACCTGTAAACCCAGAATTCTGTATCCAGTGGAAACAGTCCTCAAGAATGAAAGGCAAATAAAGGCGTTTCAGTTAAAGCTCCCCACGGACCCGGCTTTCATCTCAGAGCAGCCCTAGTGCCCTGTCATCACGCTCTCTTTGCAGAGAAGGAACCGGGTCCTGAGTGAGCCACTTGCCCAAAGGCACATACACGCAAAGCCTTTGTACTCCACCGGCACATCCCTGCCCCCACACCACAGGGCCTCGGGGTGACAGCGGCTGACGCCTCAGGCTCAGGGTCCCAACGCAGCCATTGGGTGAGGTCTGCCAAGCCCACCCATGACTGTGGTGGGTGAGGGAAACTCCCATGAAGAGCCAGGCTGTCTTTCCTCTTGCGAGGCCCCCTTGTGCTTCTGCTGCAGCTCCAGGGAGGAGACCACATGGCGAGGCAGAGCTGGAAGAACCGTCTTGGACGCTGGACAAGGAGGCACCGTCAACTCCCTGGGACCGGCTACAGCACAGCCTGTCAGTGGGACCCCAGAGCCATCTGGTTAGGGAGCCAGAAAGCCACACTGTGGGCTCCTGGAGAAGTCAGAGATGGTGTCC